CTCTGGCGAAAATTAATCAAACCGATCCTGCAAACTGATTGTCCGCCCAGAACATTTAGCCGGCATTTCTACACACCAAATCAACATTTATTGTTGCATCCTTCGAGCGAACGGCATCAAAGTGCCGGCCACTCTAGCTTCACGCGACGTGACGCGTCGCGTCTGGTTGGAAACATCAGTGGAAAACTGGCGTGACCACGAGTGAGGACATTTACTGTCTCAGTGATCTGCAGGGAAGGCGAAAACATTCGAGCTTTTTATGTTCTGCAGTGGAGGCGATAGGGTTGCTGAGCAGCGGAAATTGCGTTTTGTTGTTGAGAATGCTTAAAAACAAACTTGAAGTGCGCGAGTAAGGGGTTGCGCTAGCATATGTATGCGTTTTGTGGAGAGAACCACTATCTCTCCCCTACTTCCGGCCACTCATATAAACGGCAACAAAATAACACCAGCATCTTGGTGCGCGAGGTAGCCAGCGCTTTAAAAATGAATCGAGTAAAGCATATTTTTAAATCGACCTTCCCGCAGCGGTCTACATAGGTCGACGCATGGACGTAGCCAAGTGTATTATTAGCTTCTAATGCCAGCATCAGTACAGTCATGCACAGTCGACAGGTGCGGGCTGGGATGATACAGGTGGAACTTTTAACTTCTTTCCCTGTCTATACTAGTAGTACACTAGTTCTCCTACTTTTATTACTCTCTGTCTTGGTCGCCAACATAAACACCAACACACGGCGACCACCGAGATCTACACTCTTTCCCTACACGACGCTCTTCCGATTCAGCATCATCATCATCATCATCATCATCATCATCATCATCAACCTCAGTATTATCATAAATATAATCAACACCACCATCATCATCATCATCCTCACCATCATCATCCTCAGCATCATCATCATCATCATCATCATCATCATCATCATCATCATCATCATCATCGATCATCATCATCATCATCATCATCATCATCATCATCATCATCATCATCATTAACCATCATCATCATCATCATCATCATCATCATCATCATCATCATCATCATTATCGTCCATCATCATCATCATCATCATCATCATCATCATCATCATCATCATCATCTTCTTCTTCTTCCAACAACCCTTCTTATCATAATAATAATTGCAAATAGAGGACGCTTATCTGCGCATGTCTCAGACTTGCTTACGATTAGATATGACGTGGGATTCCCGACGGAATCTGAAAGATCAGGACAATAAAACTCTTGTTCCAGTGATCACTTCTTCTTCTTTTTCTTCTTCTGATGATAATAATAATCACCATACTCAGA